TTGTCTGAAATCTCATCAAATGTTTACCATAGAGAAATAAAAATCTTCCTTGACCTAATTTCTCTCGAATTACTCGAGTTCTATCCGATAGGTGTTTTTTAATGAAGCAAACAAATAACATCAACATTGAAAGCATTTTTAGCTCTGCAAATAGAATTTATGTTTAGATTTAGGTGATTTAACTTTAATTTGACGTGTTTTGACAATGTTGATGGAACTGCAGCTTTTCATTTGCACCTGCAGTAACCATAAATAGCTATTCCAGTATATTAAAATTTTTGTAAATATTTAGGACACTTTTTACACTACGTGCTTTAGTCTCAAACTAAGCAACAAACACTATGTTCATCGCACAATATTTTTCCTTTAGTGTGGATTGAACCTACAGCCTCTGGCGCAAGAGGCAGGTCACTACCCACAATGCCAATCGGGTCATCAAAATAATTTAATGTATAAATGTTGTAATAATGTATATAATTGTTGTATACACCGTGTCGTTACAATCGCGACAATAAATGAACACACGTCTAACGCTACTTGCCAATAACCATAAAAAATATTAACGTTAAACAAAATCCATAATTAAAAAAAATATTTTTCAAACAAACTAATTAAGTAAAAAAAGAAACAAAATTTGTAACATCCCCTATACAACTCGCGCCACAGCGTCGCATTACAAGCCTCTCCTTCTAACAGTATGTTTTGTCTCTTTTCAATTCATTCAACCCATTCATATGCTTTGTGACCTTTACAAATGAACTTTACGTTACGCTTTTATAGGTAAGGGTGTTTTAAAATTCTTTGTTTTAGAAAATTTAATAACTGTGTAAATATTGATGTTTAAAGAATTTGAAAGTTTAATACAGCTTTAAAAAGTTATCCCCTATATGTGTGTTCATTTATTGTCGCGATGGTAACGACACGCTGTATATGTATTGTATACGATCCGTGGTAGCCCATTGTCCGGGCGCTCGCTTTTAATTCAATATACTCGAGCAACGTTAGTTCGATCCCCGGTGCCGGCACCAATGAAATGGTTAATTTTAAGTGCTGACTTATCACGTGCTTAGCGGTGAAGGAAAACATTGTGACCTGCATATTTTAAAAATAATAAAATCCTCTCTCCCGCTTCAGCATTTTGAAAAATTACAAAATTTTTACCGCAAAGTGCCAGCGATTACGGACGCAACCACACAAAATAAATTCGATGTTGTTCAATCTTAACATTGAGATTATTTGCATGATTCTATAAAAGCTGAAAATTCTCTCTGCGCATGTCCAGAAAATAGTTAAGAAAAGAATGAAGTTTGGATCATTGTACATTTGGCGTAGATAGCAAAAGTATATAAAATTGCACTCTAATAACGCAAAAGCATATTTATTTTTATATTTCCTTCTGGATAATATTAGAAATCACGTCATTCATTGACAGACAGTATAAATGAAACCTCCTGCCAGATACCATTATACTTTCATGAATTGTAATTCTACTCATACACCCTTAAAAAAAATTCCTTTTTCTTTTTATTCTACATTTTTAGTTAGGATTCATTTACTTCGTTATTAGGACTATAAGACGGTAAAACGAAATACTAAAGAATATTAAAAAAGTTATAAGTATGAAATTAGCGAGTATGGTTGTTTAACAACTTTAAATCGTCATATTAAAGCCTAAACTTTAATTTAAAATGATAAATAATAAAAATCATTTTTAAATACCTATCCATCAATACACCACGTTTTTTTTTTCATTTTGATAATATGGCGTCTGGTTGATAATGTGGTGAAAATTGCTTATTGTTGTCTTTAGTGATACTAGCAAGATTAAGACGAATCGATTGCCGTAAGAATAATCAAAATCGGTATACACGGTTGGTCTCTACAACGAACAAAGATACATACATACATAGACTGATAAAACATTATCCTCCTTCGCATCGCGCAGTTGGGTAATAACGAATGTCTAGCTGTTCCCAGCTCTTGCTCCACACATCTGTATACATTTGGTACCGTTAGTTAATAAATAGAAAAAAAAATTGAAGAAGTCGACACTAACTGTTGTTCTCGACTTATTTCCCAGCTCAAATCTACTAAAAATGTATTAAAAAAATATTCAAAGAGATTTAGTTGTTGAATTTTTTTCCTATGATTTTTTTATTTAACTGTCTACTATGTACTTACCTGCTAATAAGCAAAAGCTCAAATTGTCCTATCAATTGTAATGTCTTTGAGGAAAATTGGAACACTTTTGCCAACATTATAAATGTGGGCTCTTGTTACCTCGCTCATTAGACGAAAAACGAAGGTATAAAAGTACTTCCATTTGACGCCGGTCTTCAATGAGATCATAATTCCCCGGTCGAGCCTGCCCGTTCGTGCCTTCGTTTGTTAGATGGCTTCCATTAACCTTCCCGCTGAGAAAAGATAATAAGTTAAAAAAAAAAACAAAACAATATTTTCAAATGTGGCTGGTAGTTCTGGAGACTAGCAAGAACAATGTAGCACAGCAAAACCAATGATTTATTGCTCTCAATTTATTTGTATTTATTTAAGCTCTACGGCGAGCCTTAAATAATAGGACTTTTTGCTCAAAGGCTCTCCACCAGTTAACCCAGGATGAGCGAGAGCAATACAATGTTTTCAAATGTTATTTTTTTATGTGAAAAGTTGTCAAGCGAGCAGACGGTTCACCTGATGTTAAGTGAATACCGCCGCCCATGTACATCCGCTACACCCGAGGGTTGCAGATGCGTTGACGACCTTTTGAAAATTGGGCTCCGGCAACCTCACTCACCAGAAGAAACGCGAAAGTATTATACTTCCACTTTACGCCGGTCTTCTGTGAGGTAGTGGTACTTACCCGGATGAGCCTGCCCATTCGTGCAACAGCAGAGGTTGCTGCGTGACCCTACCACCTATGAGTGAACCCTGAATTTGAACTTATTACATATTAGCAGGAATTACTTATTCATATGATAATAATCTTTGTGTGTTATTTCTTGGGCTTATAAATAAAGCGTACACCAACTTCTATAGCAAGTTTTAGTTTAATAATTATAAACTTATATTTATGAATTGCACTAGACGTACACTACATAGACCCGCATTTGAAGCTAAGCCACCGATTAATACTTTCGACCGTCTCTATAGACTTAGGCCGTCCATCATTTATTTTATCCAATTTACCTTTTCTATAACAGTCGATTGCGAAATGAGAAAAATGTTTCTTGGAATTCGTTTTAGTCATATTTAAAATACGTTTACAACACCAATTTGGTAAAAAAAAATACATGTAATTATTTGGTCTCACTTTAACTACTATGTGCAATGAAAATACGAACGAAAATTATATTATAAAACGTCAAAAATTGGAATAATTCATGAAATATCTTCAAGTGATCTGTGGAACTGTATGACAAGGGTGCGAGCGTAAACCGTCAATATTGTTTTAGATCTTATATATCCATACATTAGACATATGTATATCCAACGTAAAAGTAAACGTAAACGTAGTGATTACATTCTCTTTGTGTATATCCTCAAGAGTCAATGGCTTTTCTTTTAAAGGATACGTTATATTTAACATCCTTAGCGGTAATATGTTAATAAACATTTACTAAAAGTAGCTTAGTATAAAGACGAGAAAAACATAAATGTCATTTTAAAACAATTCTTGGCCTGCCTTGTTGCGGTAGGTAAGTTGATAAAAAAAATTAAATTTTCAAAACATTACGAGTACGTTGCACCAAGAACTTATGATTATTTCATTTCATTCTCGGTACATAATATAGATATGTTACTTTTATTTGAATTAATTTATGTCGATAAATCAGGAAATTACTAAAGGTAACTTCAGGGTGACGAAATACCACAGTATTTTCCTTATATCACTTATAAAAATCCCGAGACGAAATTACTAATGTAGTTGTGGGATTTTTTCAAGTGTGTTAAAGGTTAGGTCTTATGTATTGTATTATCTACAAACAAGGCAGCATATACAGTACAAGCAGAACAAGGCAGTTTTTCTGCCTCAATACCTAGGGCCGAGCAGAGTTCAGTTAGGTTGAGGTAACGAATAAAATATTTGTAATTATTAGTAGATGACATTAAAGATAAGTCAAAACTTCTGAATTCGATTTGAGCTTAATCCAAAATCCAGTGAACTTCAACTCCATAATTTTCTTAAACTATTTCCATGCACTTAACTTAATCTTTCCAAACTGAAGTGATGAAACTCTGTCGTCTTATTTTTGCGTTATTCTATATATATTATTCTATATTTTCCTCTCGCCTAAACGAAACCAACGCCCTTCAAAACAATTTGCGTTGCCTAAACAAGTTCTTTTTCTTGTATTCTCGCCCTGTTGATTGTGGACCTCCGTTGTCTTTCTGTCGCCGAGTATGTATATGTCATCCTCATCATCATCAGCCGCAAGACGTCCACTGTTGAACATAGGCCTCCCATATATGTATGTACCGTGTATCTCATGAACCATGATTGTCAGACGGTTGAAATTATCACAGATGATTTATTTCCGTTGTCGCTATAAGACTTATTAAAAACACAATACAGAAATATTTAAGTGGGGCTATACAACGGACGTAATTTTGTTTGCCATTTTATGGAGATTATACGGAACCCTTCGTTGCGCGAATCTGACTCGCACATAGCCGGCTTTATTTCTATTTATGTATTGGGAAATCAATTGGAAAACTCTACATTACTCGTGCTGATTAGTCTTTGATCCATATATAAGTTTCTTTAATTGCATTTGTATATTGATGTACGACAATGAGGGGCTAGACCCAGCTTTATCGCAGATTTATTGCGACAGTCGTGACGAAACCAACTGCAAAACAGTAGCAACAATCCTAAGGTCGCGCTATCAACGGACCCAGTGATAACCTTATGTAACGTGATACATCGCATATATGTGGTCAGTCCAGAGAATCTTGGCCAGTTTAACTTCTTGCGTATCGCAAGTTAAATGTGATTTTAGTTTTGAAAAGTCTGTGGCGGTTAGCTTGAGTATTCTTTTACCTTTTTGTTTCTTGCCTATTGTTCCCGGCATTTAAAAGTTCGTGTTTTCCGCAGTATATTGGAGGAAATAACCAAGATGGTGCTGCTAGGTGTGGTGTTATGGGCGGGCGTTACCTTCGGGAGCCACGTCGCCCCATACCCGCTCAATTTGTTGGTGACCTCAGGTACGTTCCGTTCCGCCAGTACTGCAGGTGTCCCGCCGCATAGTTCGCATTCGCTAAAAGGTTGTTTGTCCTAGATATAATTCACCCCCCGCCGATGTACGACTTCCCGTTCCCAAGTGCTGAGATGTTGAAAAAATTGCCCCCCGTCACTGCCGCCAACACCAACAGCTCGATCGCCTTCAGTAAGATGTCGGTGTCAATGATGGAGCGTTTCGAGAGGAACCTGCAGGGGGCGAACATCACGCCGAAACAGGGGTCGGCCGCCCAAGCGTTCGCGATACAGGGCCGACCCTCCGCCGACGCCATGCGCTACGAGATGTCTTCGATGATCATCACGAAGGCCACGCAACACCTGGGCTGGAGCAAATGCGTGACGTAGGTTGCATACCATTTATTACGACCGAATAATTTCGAGGAATTCGTGCTAACAGTGTTGTGACATGCGTTTGTTGACTGCGTTGTATTCAGCCGCCTTATCTGATCCCAGCTACGGGTGCCCGACGGACGAGTGTGCAAGTCTGATGAGTACGTTGACACTGCGGGATACTGAATTCGGGGCCGAGTGCGCCGCTCTGGAGCGCTTCACGTGTCGCACCAACAAGATGTCCTCCAAGTACCGCACCTTCGACGGCTCGTGTAACAACCCAGTGCGCTCCTCGTGGGGCCAAGCACTTACCGGCTTCAAGCGCATACTACACCCGAGATACGCAGACGGCGTCGAGGAGGTGGGTTCTTTTTTCTGTCAAATAGTTATGTCAACTTCTTTTTTAATCTGTGTCAGTTTTTGACACTGCGATCTATCTTTCTAGTCTATGGTATTCAGAATTGTAATAATTTATGAATGGATTGATTTCATCTTGCATACCAAGATTATGTCGTAGCATCCGAAGGTTTGAATTAACTTTTGCGAATGTAACGGGAAAAAATTTTTGGTCAAATTTCATAACGGACTCATAATTGCTGTCGATACAATCACTATCCAGACTATCATACTATGTACATAAAAGCTGAACAGTTTTGTAGGCTTTTGAATTTAGCGTATAACTTACACGCGCGATATCCTCTGTTGTCGTGTGCAGCCACGCAAGTCAGTGCTGCCAAAGCCGTTGCCCTCGGCGCGACTCATTAGCAACAAGGTGGCCGCCAGCGTGGACGCACCGAACGGCGAAAAGACAATAGCCCTCGCGGTTTGGAGTCAGTTCGTGCATCACGACTTAGTTCATATTCCCGTGAGGAAGACAAGTGAGTAGTTACTTCTACATCCATCGAATTTAGATTAAATGTGTACAGCTGGAACCGTACATCAAATGGAGATTCAAGATGTGGTCATTTACTATAAGAGGATTTTTCAACTTGACATGGGCACTTATGAGATGACCGTGGCACACACGGCTTAACTAATAGCGAAGTGCTAAAAACTCGTAAGTTCATACTTCAAAATAAATCATCCTGTTCTTCAAAGGAATCAATGGAAGCACACACACGTCATTCCATTTTGAAGATCAAATTCTTTTGAAGTCTGGTATATGGAAAACTATTGAAATGTCCTATTTACATTAAAATTACAATAAACTTTATTTGATGCCTTGTTTACAATAACCGCCGGATTCGACCTTTAGGTGCGATACTACATTTTGCGTCACAAGTTTGTTGATTCCAATCACAATATATTCCAGAGACGGTATATATGAAAAATTTAACTATTTATACTTAGAAATTCTATCGTTTTGATTCATATTTTAAGCGGTCGCTATGGGCCGAGAAAAACCTAAACGTGTCTGACTGAGGTTTTTAAAATAGTCGTAAAAATCAAAGTTATCGCTAAACGAATTCTAATACCTAGAAAAATTGTAGTGTAGTAAAGTAGTTTTTAAATAAATGGCATGATTGTACACCGCCGGATGTTGGCGCAAGTGAAAGGGCAATAGAACGAAAGAAAGATAGGAGGAAAGAAAATATGTAATCCACAAATACGCCACGTAAAGATTGAACAGTTCCAACATCTTAGGTACATATTTAAACTGCAAACATAAGAAAAGAAAACAATAGTTATACACTGTGTGCAGCGCAATAACTCTGAATTCGGTGCGCATTTAAGTTAAGCACAAAGTAAAAAGCCGAGCAAAGGCCATTTTGTATAGGGTATTCGGGCATAGTCCACCACGCGACCTCTATCGATTGGCGGACTACGGCGGTAAACAAACAGATTTCCCGCCTATTTCCCTTCGCAGCTGAGCGCGCTATCAGCAACTGCAATAGTAACGAAATATCCTTCACCGCTGAGCGGTGAAATGCACATTTAAAGATAAGATCGACTTCGCCGGCACTAACGGACCCCTCTCCTTAGTCCACACGAACGAGACGCTGCGCTGCTGCGACCTGAGCGGCTTCGAGCTGGCCCCACGCCACCGCCACCCCAACTGCATGACGATCCGCGTTCCCGACGACGACCCCCACTTCGACGGGCGCTCCACCACGTGCATGGAGTACACGCGCTCCGTCACCACGTACAGGGGCGACTGCACCTTCGGCGCTGCAGAGCAGGTACGGAACTATCTGAGATGAGGGATCAATTTTAGGTCTTATCATTAGACCAGGGGAGTACACGCGGTCCGTCACCACGTACAGGGGCGACTGCACCTTCGGCGCTGCAGAGCAGGTACGGAACTATCTGAGATGAGGGATCAATTTTGGGTTTTATCATTGGACCAGGGGAGTACACGCGGTCCGTGCCCCGTACAGGGGCGACTGCACCTTCGGTGCTGCAGCGCAGGTACGGAACTATCGGAGATGAGTGATCAATTTTAGGTCTTATCATTGGACCAGGGATAAACATAATTTTTAGGACACATATTTCATGTAATAACTGCACCTACCACGATTCCTCACCACGCCCCGGGTTGACTGGGAGAGAATGCCAAAAGGCATTAATTTCGCTTTTTGTGATCCTTTTTTCCTTTTTTTAAAGGTAATAATATATATATATTAAATAAAATAACTAAATATTAACACAACCTTCTCTAATCGCAAACTAAGCAATGCTTGTACTATGGGTAATAGGTGTTATAACGGATAAACATACTTAAACTTACTTTTTTTGTAAGTAAATAGATAATTATTCATATATGAACACCCAGACCCTGAAAAATATTATGTTCATTACACAATATTTTTCCAGTAGTGGGGATTGAACCTACACCCTCTGGCGCAAGAGGCAGGTTCACTACCCACTACGCCTTTCGGGTTGTCAAATAGAAACGGCGATTAAAATGTTACATACATCTTAGTATCTAATCTCCCGTATATTCACATTACGCATGCGATAGTATCAAGCCAAAGGAAATTAAATAGTAATATTCGCTTTATGATAATTTGACTTCATTGTGCGCTTTAAGACAATTTGACATCATTGTGTTTATGTTTGTACATATTGCACTTTTACGAAAGTCACAATTAGTTTGACTCTGCTCTTCACACGCTGGCGTGAAGTGGAAGTGTTACATTTCAGCGTATCGTCTGCAGAGTGAGGGAACCCGGGCCCACTTTATTTAATGGTGGCAACGCATCTGCGACCCTACGAGTGTTGCAAATGTCCATGGGCGGCATTTTTCACTTAACGTCATGTGAACTGACAATTTACTTAACACCTTCTCACATCCGTGTGATGACACCTTCCTTACTTCTTCTGAAAACATGCACCGGAAGTACAACCGTCTCACGGGAAGCACACGTATCGCCTCTTAAAGGATGGTAATGCACCAATTCCAATGAAGGATTGTAGTCAACACCAAGGCATGATCCATGCCTTGCATTTCGCACATCCATGCCTTGCATTTCGCACAACAGATATAGAGATTTTTAAATATTATTTTGAGACAAAATAGCTTGATTTATTAAAACTACTCGTTACATATAATAAACAAACTATCTACGTAAAATGCAACTATAGACTAGCCTTGATACTTCGATTCTTTTAGATTGGCTTGATAATAGTGACAGGCATTCAAATTTTAAAAATGGAATGGAAAGTTTTAATGCTGCTATGTAGTATTTTATCGTCTTGTTTTTTTACATGTAGATCGTATACAGTATGCGTCTATAAAGCCTTAATTGTAATAATGTGAGTAAAATTTTAACTGTTATCCGAATCCGAAAGTAGTAGTAGCGAACTAAAACGTAAACTGAAACTATTTGCTTTGGAATTAAAGTAATCTTCTTTTTCGTTTAACTTATTGCAATTTAAAAACATGCTAGTGATAGACGAGTTTTCATCAAGTTGTTGGTTGTCGAATTTAGTTGGTACAGATTATCACGTCCTTTTATAATTGTAATTGAATTAATGATTCATGTTACCGGTAAAGAACGGTTTCTTTTACTCATTTATCTGTGATCTCAATGACAGACTAAATAAAGCGCAGTAGAAGTTTTCCTTACCACGCGTTGCATGCGTGCTTACTGAGCTCGCCTTGATAAATCATTGTACGGACATAACATTTTATTAAAGAAAAAGCAAATCCGTAATAACTTCGATACGTTGTTAGTCAGGTGATGAGGTGTCCTTCGGAATGAATACGCGTATCCTTTATAGTGTATACCTACTTTGATCGATGGGTATTTACGAATAGGTAGTCATTGTTCGGTGTCAAAGTTTGCTTTTTTTAAGGTTTTGTTTTTAAAATTGCGACACTGGCCAGTACGGAAAATATGCTCAGTTACCGTAATGCGATACAAACGAAAGCAACGGGCAGACACATCGAGTAAGCAGTCAACATTCGCGATCAGAATGTTGCGACGTTGCCAATTTTATGTATGTCGATGGGGTCAACATTCCCACTTTCTTTCGTGGGCTGTTCTTCACATATTTTTAATCTGTATAGTTAAACTCAAATGTCACACGTAGTGTTATTTGTTTTTGTTTTTATTTAAAAAACATTGCCCTTTCCTGTAGGATGACATTATCCTGTGTTGTGAGGACATATTTACATACATAAATTTCACGTGGACAAGCCCAGATCCGAGGTCACACAAATAGTTGTCCCGTTTGGAAATCGAATCCACCACTCCCTCCGCCGAAACCAATACCTTGGCAACTGCGCCACGGAGCCTCATTATAGATGTGAGGCACTCATTGGTGTGTTAGCACGAATTAACGAAGTACCGTCTTAAATATTGTTTACTGATCATTTTGCGTACAAGCGCAAATTGGTTTGACCTATTGGTTCGTTCTTGAAAATGACATCGACTTCATTGAGTTCAATACGTAGTGGTGGTATTGAATGTTATTACAGGAAATTGTGAGGGCACACGCGTAGGTCAATCGATCGTGTGTTTGCAAACTGTCCGCGTATTTATTAAGCAAATTGGCAGGATATGCGTGTTCTTATTTTGAATTTTCTTATCCTATCAGCATTATGTTTTGACACTTATTGCGTTTTTTTTTATTTTGTCGTTTTGGTTTATTCTAATGCACACTAAAGACTTAAAAATTATATGTTCTTCTTATGTTGTATTGAGAATAGGATTAACAGTTTTTAAACTTATTTCTCATTTTTAAAATTTTTGATAGTGCTAATCTCTGCACTTAAGATTTAACATTAAAATTTGTAAATTACGTTTTAAAAGTACGAAAAGGTTGTCGCCGCTGTGGGAATACAAACAATTTCGAATAACGATAATTCTAACGGGAGATGTCGCTATTGCTTATTGTTTGTATGCTGGAAAGGATGATGCCGCCAAGCATTGCTTCAAAGGCTATAAAAACAATGTAGATAAAAAACGTTAAGATTTTCATCGGTGTGGCAATCAGCCGTTTAGCTTAGTGGCTAGAGCGTCAGGCCGCGAATGCCTAAGACGTGGGTTCGATTCCCACAGCGGCGACAATCTTTTCGTACTTTTCTACAAATTTTAATTATTTCTCATTGTTATGAATTTCAAAAGCAAAAATATTCATTGTGCTTTTGGAAGTATCTATTAAGTATTTGTTTTTTTTTTATGAAAAGTACCTTACTTATTGTACTTTAGCAGTATTTTCTGTGCAATTTCTTACACACCATTTAAGATAATATCAGTTTTACTGAGAAAACAAAATCATAGACACACCCCGAAAATTATACACTTAATCGAATAAAATAACTTACCAGAATGCCGAAGAAGGGTAATATTTACGAGCGAATGTACCTATTGTAACGACCTATTAATAATAATAAATATTATTATTAATTAGTCATAATAAAGATCAATTAAGATGAAAATAAAACATTTAAGAACGTTTAATCACAATAAAAGTTAATAATATATACTTAAATTAAAGAAATATAAGTGTTAGTATGAGAAAATGATATTACCAAAAATTGATTAAAAATAGTTAAAAATCACTTAAAATACTCAAAAAAGGATATTTATTAAAAATATAGCAAGATACGATCACTATTATGTCCATTAAATACAATTCCATACTTAGTGATTTCTAAGGGAAGTATTATGTACCGTGCGGGGACACATTTGTTTGACCGCACATATGTAAGTACAGAGGTCGATCGCGACTCTTAGTACTATATTGAAAGTACATTGTATGAACGTCCCATACCAATATCATATGGAAGTAAGGTCTAATGGATAAAAGTAATAATATGTGAAGGCTCAGAGAAAAAATAATAAATATATAAATATAATGAAGAGCAATGAATGACTTGGGACTTTATAAGACATATTACTATGGAGTTGCGTGGTACTTCTGTACGACGATATGGTCTACGGTAAACGTGGAACCATGAATGGATCTGGATGGTCTTCAGTGGTGGACATATCATCGATAGCTGGTGGTAGTTGGCGTCTTAGTGACCATCACTATGATACGTTAGCTGTCATTCGGCATAGTAAGAGTTTGGTGTTAGTTGGCGTCTTAGTGTGTTGCACTATGATACGTCGACTGATCATCTGACTTTGGGGAGTCTGGTGGTGGCTTGCGTCTTAGTGTATTCCACTATGATACGTTGGCTATTACTTGACTGGGGTGGGGGTCCGTTGGTGGTTGGCGTCTTAGTGTTTACGCTATGATACGTCGATTATCATTTGGATCGTGAAAGAGTATGTTTGGACACTTCGTGTGTTCCGAGTATATTCTAAACTTTGGAGCCGAAGTTGATTGGAGTTATATTGGTGTGGTGTGAGGGTGTGCCACCTACGCGATAGTCACATTGATGCGTGCGGCTATATGCAGTAATGCGTCTTGTGGTATTTGCGGGGTGATCTGCGCCTAATATCATTGCATCGTATGATTCTGGTTGACGGAGGTTCGAGGTGATGATGTCTGCTGTGTATGCGGATAGGCTGTATGTTGGCGTGTTGACCTGCGATAGTTGTATTTATGCATGTTGCATTTGGTGACATTGCGTCTTGCGACATTTGCTTGGGAGACGACGCTATTCATAATGGCCGAGTCTGCGTCTCGGTTTGATGCACATCTCAGTAGATTTGTCCAAGTCGGGTTCCTGATGACGGAACTGCAGACTGTCTGTCCTCCTTATACGTTTTAACATGATTAACGAATCTCAGTAAAGTTCCCACCGTTCGAACGAATAATGGCAACTTGCTGGTGGGTGAGACAAACTTGATCGAAACTACACTATACTCAACGTCAGAGACACTGACAAATAAATATATGTTGCCAATTATAAACCCTTCTGATGGCTAAACATAAAATCACAACTATGGCTATTTCTGACTATTTCAATGGTTGGTGGAGCATATGCGTTTACCTCATGTGGATGGTAGCTGGCGGGAGAAAACCTCTCAAGGCTGCGGCGATGCCGTGCAACGTTTTAACCATACCCTTGGGGTGAGCAGTGACTCATAACGCGCTCTGCGACGAAATGTCGTGCTAACCTTTTTAATGGTGGTGATGCCAAAACACTAACAATCACGTCTGCAGTCGCGGCGGTCTGGCAAAAGTGGTGGCGCTTACGGAGGGCTTATTATATCATAGGGCCAGAGTGCCTGATTTTTAACACATGCCCAAAACCGTATTGACGTACATTCACGAAGACTGGATTTGTCGTTGACTTGTATGACGTTTACACGCATTGACATGCGCGACTTCGGTCAAAGTTTGTGCTTACGCACTGCCAAGGGGCCAAGCCCTCTTTATGCTGGTAAAACAGCTTTGCAATGGACTTCGGTCCTTTCCCCAACTTTTTGTCCCTCTTCTGGGGGGGGGGGGGGGCGCAATATGTTGGTTGGCGCTCACCGCACACGGCGTTGGTGAGTGTTTTCATGGAGCCGTGTGCCTTCCCTACATTTTTTTAAAATGTGGGGGAGCTGTTAACTTGTATCGGGTACTATAAAATTGATGTGAGCCCTTTTCAAGAGAGAAGGGGTATTATTTTAAAAATATATTGTGAGCCCTTTACAAGCGTGAGAGGGAGTATACTATATACTCTGAGCCCGTCTCAAGCGAGTCGGGATTAGTTAATAAGAAAGCAATCTGGCATTATCTCTGGCTTATACCACAACTAGTGAATATTTATCTTTCCAAGATACACCTAAAAGAATCAAGTTACTAAATAAACACAACGTAAATAAGGTCCTACCGAACATGACGATCACAATAATATTTATACGGCTAATTATTAACTTTAAAAAGATCCTATAGAAAGATCAATAATTTATTCTGGTCACGTAATGATGTTATATGATTTATTCATATAACGGGGCAAAAATATATATAACTTTAATTATATATACGCAATAAAGGGGGGGTGCGAGTTACACTATGTAAGTACACAAGTAGTACACAGTCATGTCTTATTCTTCGGCAAGCGTTTCAGCTTAAACCTCAAAAGGTTTAAGTTCAAGGCGTATCAGCTTAAACCTCAATTGGTTGAAATCCGTTTTGACGGATTTCAACCAATTGAGGCGCATCTTATTCGCCTTATTCGTCTTTTTGAGGTGAATCTTATTCGCCTCAATTGTGGGAAGGATTTAGGTTATATTATTTTTGTACGATGTCTGAGAAAGAAAGTAAATTAATTCTAGATTTTTAATGCGGTCAGGGTTCTTTTAATAAAAATATAATGTTGGTACTATTGGAAGGATGGATCTATAGATAAACTATTCATAGCTGTAGAAATAGTTCGTTTCAATGTAGGCGGACGCGCATATCTATTTTTAAAGTTGTCGAACGGGTTTAGATCTGAAGGGGCTCAGTGCAATCCAAAGTGCATTGCCATGTCGGATTGAAAATAAAAAGGTGAAGTCATGTAATGTCTCTTTTTATACTAGTTATTTCTGTTACAAAACATAACTTGTTACCAACAGATGGGCAGGGTGCGTTAAACTGTTAAGAAATGGCTTTTTATGATATCGTACTTTCTAATAAGTTATGTTTATGTATATAAAAATAAAGTAGTTACGCAATTACATTATGTAACTATTTTATTTTTTGTTGACTTAAAGGTGTAACTACGCAGCAAACGATTGCGACATTGCTCACTCTATATACTATACCTTCTTGTATTCCAACTACGCGTCTGTGTTAGTTGTTTACTCCTTTGTAACTACTAACTATTTGGATCATATTTTAAAACGCCGTATTCCGTAACAAGGCATAGAGATTCAGGGTAGGATTTATTAGTAACTAGATTCATCGCAGTTACTGATATCGTATAACGGGTTGTTAGAAAACACGACGAACCGCTTAAAATCAGATAAAAACATTCATAGTATAGTAAATTAACAGTCTATACATGTCCACCACGCGATTTATTATTATTATATAAGAAAATGTGCAAGTTTACTCCGTATAAGTGAGGTCGAAGTAGAAATGCGTTTTATCTCTGAGTGAAAGAAAAAAATCACTTTTATACTTGTATAGTTTTAGAAAGAACGAGAATCGCTGAGTTTAAGACCGAGAAACACCGATTGTAATTCGTAATCATATCCGTTGTTTTGAACACGATTCTTAATTAGCATATTTATTCCGTTATAAACTCAAGGTTCTATGTTTCTTTATTATACATCCGTATGTTTTATTTATATTCATAACAGATTTTTTCAGAACAGTTATAAAAAGTAAATTAAGAAAACGTATCTACGTAAGTGTTTATCGAAAGATGTATAGATGGTTTTTTTATGTTCAGATTTTGTTAGGCAAGGTCAATAGGCTATAGAACTACTATTTCATAGTAATGGAAATTCAATATGGTGTCACGCCGGGTTAATGTGACTTATCTACTTCGAAATTTTTAGACCTAAAACTTATGACGTTGATTTCTGGTTTATAATCAGATTTTTTTATTAGGAAACGGAGTGATATATTACATTCTATCTATCTTCGGCAACGCATTTGTTAGCCCGTTAATCACTTACCATCAGGTAAGCCTCCTGCTCGTTTGTCCCTTTTTCCATAAAAAGAAATCTTTGTTACTGTAATAAACACGTCTCGTATGCGGTGCCTCGTTTACCATTTATTACGAAGAATCAGAAAGGAAGAAAGAAAGAATAGCTATTTATTTGAAATCGCAAAAATTTATATATACAATACTAGTACGAAAAGTAATGAGAAAATCGAATTGTGTGCACTCGAATGTTGCCACGCTGATTACAAATGGAGCCTTCTGTAGACTTCACGGACGCGAACTATTAGCGATTGAAATCCCCGTGCCGGTATCGATTATATTGCTACTTGTCATTTAAAGTTCTAATGTAAATGGTGATCAGCAGAGAAAACCTGAATTTAAATAAAAATCGAGGTGTTTGTGTGATATGCCAATTCGTAATGGGTTCGTGGAACTTTGCCGTAATATATTCTGCAAAAGAGGGCTTTGCCCAGCAATGAGACGTATATAGACGTATATACAGCAATATTATAAAAGTTATTTATTTATTTATTTATTCTTTATAAATATAATGCCATCAACATTTCCTCCCAGTCAACCTTGGTTTAAATGTTCTAAAAGTTAGTTAAATGTCTAATGGTTATATTATAATCTTGTACGTAACTTTACCATTAGGCTTATAATCTTATGAAGCCTTTTATATTAAGGTTTTTGATAAAGTGGTTTTCTGATATCTACCTATTATCTATGTAGATGAACCAGGCAACGCATTTCCTGGACGGATCAAACATCTACGGCACGAATAGCAGGGACGCCGCGGCTTTGCGTGAGAAGACCGGTGGTCTTCTGAAGACCTCGGACATCGACAGCGAGGAGCACTTACCTATGGCCGCTTACCCCACGGAAAAATGCTTGGTTGGGAGCGATTCTGAAGCGTGTTTCAACACTGGTAAATATCTCTTGATAATCATTTCTTGCTCACATAGTCCGCCTTATACAAAACGCTACTTTCGTTTCTTTAAATTCAAATTCAAACATTTATTTATTATATTATATATATTTATGTAATGATACTATTATTATTTAATATTAAATTTGTTAATAATTGACTTTATATTAATAAATCTTTATCTATAAATTCCCACGGATTTACATATGACGTAATGTAACATTTTGAAATTCCTGCTAGTGCCACGACTACTACAAGTAACTCTTATGCTAATATTAAATTCGGTTTAGCTTTTCACCGATAGCGAACGTCAGCAAATCCCTAGTAGGAAATCCACCAATTATGTTTATAGCCGTATAGCTATCACCACAAATAATAATAAAAAGAAATGTTTCAAGCCATAATACAGTTTAATAAAAAGACAAGGTTGCAAAGAAACAAAATGCAAGTTCAACTTCCATATCTTATACACCAATGTCACTATAAGCTATTTTTATGCAATAAGTTGTCGGCAAAGATAAAAAAGAGGTATTTCTTTGCATTATGTTCCATTTTATTAATTTTTCCTCAATATCGTTTCGCTTTACAAAGTCACAAAATAATTTTTTAATATGACCGTGTTGCAGAACTTCTTACTACAAATGAATTGTCTTCGTTTTATGCTTACTGTTTAAGTTGTATCTACATTGTGATGTTACATATGAAAGTTATATCACATAAAAATTTTGTTTTATTTTATTATTTAAATTTAGTATGCTTATCATTTAAACAGTAATCAGTACCGATTCTACAAGATTTACCTCGTTTGTAATTGGACAAAGTTGTGTATGCCCTGAAATATTTAATGTTTTTATTAACTTCATTTCTTTTGTATATTTCAATGTTGACTTATGTAATTAAACATAACTAGTTGAACCCGGCCACGCTTTGCTATACTCTACTTAGTCGCTGTACCTTTCTTTTCGTTCCCGCTGGAACTTCGGAATATGAAATAGTATATAAAAACACTCTCCTGTTCAACAGTTTTATTTGCGTTCACTAACTATCTACAGCAAATGTTGTGAAGTTTTTGACATTTACCTATAATTCCAAGTTAATTAATTAAACTGGCATCGATTGCATTAAATGTCTTTCTTTCACAAACAAAGAGCACTGGCACGCGGGATGAAATTTTTAGTCATTTTTATTTTGTTACGCGAAAGAAGTATGACTAGTTGCGTACATAAGTAAACATAGGTATATGTTTTTTTTTCGTAGGAGACATCCGCTCGAACATGCACCCTTGGCTGACTGGGTTGCACTCTTTGTGGGTGAGGGAGCATAACAGGGTCGCCAGGGCGCTCGCAGCGCTCAACCCGGAATGGAACTCGGACCGCTTGTACCACGAGGCCAGGAGGGTGGTGGTCGCTGAGCTGCAGCATATCACCTACAAACATTGGCTGCCCGCTCTTACCGGTATTGTTTCTTCTGTTTCAATGTTACTAGCTATCGCGCCCCGGTTTTTTTTCTTCTTTTTTTTAAAGAAATTGCCCTTACCTTTGGATAACATTATCCTCTGTTGTAAAGACGTTTTACAAGTTTCACGTGGACAAACACGAATGAGTGAAATGTGTGAATGAGAGAAATGAATGAAAAAAGATGCGAATCAATTATTTGTCACACAAATAGTTGTCCCGTGTGGGAATTGAACCTACAACCCCCGACGCCGAAGCCAATAACTACTTAACGTCTTCAATAGGTTTTGCACGGTTAGCACTGTAAAAAAATCTGTTGGTCCGAACACGAATTGTCATGGGATCGGCCGCTTACTAACTATTGCCTGAAGGTCTCATCTAAATCGGTACACCCGTTTTGGAATCCATAGCGAATGTACACAGAAACGATTTTTATAACTCTACATTTTAGTGACTTCCTTAGTGGTATGGTTATATTCGCTTAGTTGTTTGAGGACGAGTCATAATTAAACGCTGATTAGTTACGTAAGACAAACATTATTGACGCGAACAAATATCTAGGTTGAAACAAATGTAGAAACAAATGCAAATACGTGTATAAGTAGCTAGCTTCATAATCATAACCCCAAGACGAAAATTCTCATAAAAGTTGACCGACAATTGGTGCTAATTTTCATACTCTCATTTTTGAAGTATTTTAGAGCAATCATCAGAGTATAATCCAATATTCCTATTAGAAAAATCAAAAGTGATTTCAAATATCCGTTTGAGGAGTTTGAGGAGTTTATTCGGAGTTCTCAGATGTATCTCTAAGTTCCGATACCAATGAAGTAAATAAGTAGCCGTACTGAATCCAATACAAAGATAATATTTTAAAAATAGTTAATATATGACGGAGTTAAAAAAAGTTAGCAATTAATAAAAAATATACAATAATGGAAAATTTTCTATAAACCGTATAAGATTTAGCACCAATTGTATTCAAGTTGAAATTGATCTTATAATATACGACGTCGACGAAGCTTGCATTTACTTATCAATCGTCGAGTTACGTCTCTATGTAACGTAATATTATTATAAGAAAATTTTCAAATACGATGATCGTATCGCCAGCCTCGGCGATGCGTTTCTTTAAATCGTAATAATATTATACTTTACAGCCAGCTGCATGTATTGTTATAAGCCGTGCGGTGGGTCGTATTATGATACAGCTGTTATCAAATTGTCGGTTGTTCTAGAGTTCTGTTGTTTTTAATTGAAGTCGCTGATATCGTCACTATTGTACTGTGAATGTCGTCTGTTTGCCGATAGCGGACATTTTTTGAATCGTTACGATCACTAACTTTAGAGTTTTGGAAGCGAAAATATGAAATGTGTTTCGCACGACTAGTCTTTTCTTATATTAATTACTAGCGACCCGCCCCGGCTTCGCATGGGTTTAATTTATTATACATGAATCAATCATCTAGTTAAAAAAAACGCATCAAGATCCGGAGTAAGATCTAAGCATACATAGGGAAAGACAGACAGCGGGACGACTTTGTTTTATACTATGTAGTGATATTCCTCTTCTAGAACATACAATAATAACTTGATATGAAAATACACAGACGCTGTGTGCAATATAACTCTAACTCTTGAATACTAGTATTCTATTGTCACGTTTCTCGCGTTTCGCTCCAGGGAAAGCTTTCGAAGAGCTGTACGAAAGCTACGACAGCGGCTACAACTCGGACATCGATCCAACCATCACCAACTCGTTCGCGACGGCCGCCTTCCACTTCTTCAACAGCCTCCTAGACCAGGACATCGAGCTGGTGGATGACAACCACAACGTGACTTCCACCCAAAGGCTGAAGGAGAGCTATTTCAAGCCGGCCATAGTCGCCACGAAGGGCGCCCTCGAGAAGGTTCTGCGGGGTATGGTCAGCCAGAGCGTCCAGGATTTGGATCTGAATTATGACGACGATGTGAGTTATTATGATTGTTGAAAAATCTTTTGCGCTTCCAAGATTTCCGCATCAAAATCCATGGATTTGTTTGTATTGACTCGATACGAGATTTATCTATTATTCAAGGCTTTAGGGTAACAGATGTTTTAGCGCTACATACACAACGTGTATCGCTATACCCTAACTATACTATAAAACGTTTAAATATACTATCCTTTATATAATTTTGCCTTTCTTTAAAGGCACATCTATAATATTGTGTGCCTAACTCAAAACATTATAAACATCACTGTTATGGTCGCCCGAAAATAGGACAGATATTAAAAAATAAGACTTCTATACGTCTTCTAACTTTTCTGTGTATAATGTATCGATCAATACAAAAAATATGTTTATGAAAAATGGTAGCTCAAAATAAATGATTTCTTTTACTTGCTACCTTTTCGTTTTTTAATTTGATTTAAATTTCAACACAATATGTTGAGCGTAAGATGCGTCACATATAATTTCGGGAAGTAAATGCTAACATAAAAATAAATTTATCGCCTGTTTTTTGTCAAAAATTATCCAACACAAAGATTAATGCGAATTTGCATTCATTTTTAATATGGTTAAAAATACGTTATATTTATCTTGTATTGTCTTTTGCTCCATATATATTATATGCGAGTACGAATACTATAAAGCTGTCGATCACTTTGTGTCTGATAAATAACTAATTGTCACGCGTTATTGATTGCCATAACCTAATTGGTTGGGTAGATTAATTAAAATTCATCTTTTGCCTAAATATAATATTGTATTTTGTTGTAACTAGAACCGAATTAAATATTACTGTTGGTATTAAGCGTATATTAAACATCGTACCGGCTGCAGAAATTCCATTGACAATCAAAATGGAAATATCTTCCGACTTGTTCCTATATAAAAATAACTTATTTGTAAAATAGGTTATTTATTAAAATTAACAATTTAGTTTCGAAATTAATCACGCTCGCGAAGCCGCTCTTAGAAGTGAGTTCTAGACAAAATATTAAAAAGGAAAAAGCCAGCCGGGCTTTTTGCTTCAATTTATTGTTTCTGCAACAAAAGAATGACTTATTTCTTAATGTATTTTCATAAACTGTAATATTATATATTACAATCTTATAAATATTATAGTCTATCGTGTCATAATTTATGATATCAATCTCGCTAATCACTCGACCAGTATACAACTATCACATAATATACGTACATGACATATATAAAATTAATTATTCATTAATATTTTACACACCACATATTTATTTCCTCCCTGAAAATTTATTTACCTTACAACACTCGAATAGTTTATTGTCGAACATACAAGGTGACTTTGAGCGACCGACCTCCACCTCTGTTTTGTTGTGTGTTTATGTTGTTATTCAAGATAACATTGTGTGTGGTAAAGTGGGAGGAATGCAATGTGTGTATAAAGTGCGCCCACGTTATGAATGAGCAAACAGCTTCCTCCTTATCACGTGTACGAATGATGTCACGTGGGTACTTACTTGTAGTATAAATATCGGTTGATTATTTACGTTACGATTATTCTATACATTTGCGTCGTACTTTAAAATTATTCACAGTCATTATGCCCTATAAAAATAGTTGTGATGTTCATTATTATTCCTTAGATCTTTTTAAATAGCGATTAAAAAAGGGGCACCGAATGATTATTGTCGAATTGGTGTCTTTGAGAGTTAAATAATGAAGTTCGCATGTGAACTAGTCGGGTTCTATATGACTATTTTTTAATGTGAAAATTTGCCAAGCGTGCAGACGGCTCACCTGATGTTAAGTGAATACCGCCGCCCATGGACATCTGCTACACCCGAGGGTTACAGATGCGTTGACATCCTTTTGAAAATTGGGCTCCGGCTACCTCACTCACCAGACGAAACGCAGAAGTAGACACTTACACATCACGTCATCGTCTTCTGTGAGGTAGTGGTATTTGAAGTCTGTTGCGTGGCCCTACCACAGTTGTGGGAAAATTTGAGTATATAATAATAATTTAAAAGGCCATCGTATTCATAATCTTTATATATATAAATAGACTGTACGTGTGTATGTCACCGAACTCCTCCTAAACGGCTGGACCGATTTTAATGAATGTTTTTGTGTGTCTTTAGGTAGATTGGAGAATACTTTAGATTCACAATTCGGTCCAAGTTTTTTTTATTTTTTTGTTTGTAAGTTGTTGTAGTATTTAAGTCGTGTGTACAGGACTTCGGCAGTACAATGAACTTCGTTATTTACAGCTGCGTCATAGCTGGCTGGGTGGCTTGGACGTGCTGGCTGTGGACATCCAGAGGGGAAGAGACCATGGTCTTCCCGGTTATGCCCAGTACAGAACCCTATGTGGTCTATCGGCCGTTACTACCATACAGGAATTGGTCGACGTCATACCGCAAGAGGTACTTATTGGAATAGCGTTTATTTTTTGAACACGAGCAAAGCACACGTCGTAATAGATAAAACGCAAGAATCAGATAGCATCAGGCATGTTAATAACGCGTGATAACTTTATACGTAACAGACATAAAAGACAATAAAAGACAATGTGTATCGGTGTGTATGTATTAAAAATTCATAATATTGGCACATTAAAGTACAGCGGAATAACTAAGATAAGTCACGATAATCAGTCACAATACTTAAAAAGTAATGTAATTCCTCATCATAAAATTTGCCCTGGGATTAATGAGTCGTATTTTCAGCGATATTTTAAATTCTGTGCGGATTGCATGCCATAGAGTTATTGTAAAAGTTTATAAAATAACTTGTTAAATGAAATGAACACAAAGCTTGTAATGAAACCCATTGATTGTATAATTTCTATTTGAATATACTTATGTATATCATCCATTGTGTCTCACATTACTTGGGTAAATTATTATATATAAATACCAATAGATATGATGCTAGTGCGCTGAAACAGAGGCATTGACGCGCTGAAATGACGACAATTGGTGTAACTTCTGTTCTGTCCGATTCTATCTATGGCTAGTGTACGTCAAATGCAACTCTATTGACTGCTATCCGTATCATACGTTCTATATCGTCTGTGACATCTATAATAATATATAAAATTCTCGTGTCACGGTATTTGTAATTGAACTCCTCCGAAACGGCTGGACCGATTTTCGTGAAATTTTGTGTGCATATCGGCCAGAGTGGAGAATCGGACAATCTATTTTTCATGACACCTATTTTTCATACCCCTAAATGTTAAGGGTGGTTCACCTCAAACATTTCTTTCTACCCTACAAATAATTTATATGGCAAAACAACGTTTGCCGGGTCAGCTAGTTTACTTAAAATGTCATATGATAATGTAAAGCGGAGCAATATTTAGACGCCGCGCAGTATGGACATGCGTCATCTTTATTTAAAAATAATTGATCGTAACGATAAAGCTGAATGTTTATAACAGAGACAATTAAATTTACAGACCGTTGAGAAACTGTCGAGGTATTATGACCACCTCAACGACATTGATCTGGTTGTGGGTTTGATGGCCGAAACGCCGCTTTCCGGATCACTGCTGGGACCAACCGCGACATGCCTAATCAGTGAGTATTGATGTGTTCTAATTCCAAATTTAACTGTGTGATATTTGTATCCTCCCATCGTTTCATATGTATTGTATTTGGTTTTGGTGCCGGCCATCGTGGGTTCTATTACAACACGAGACAACTGTTTGTGTGACCCATAGATAACTATTCCAGATCTGGGTCTACGTTAAATTTATGTATGTTAAACGTCTTTACTACACAGGATAATGATATCCCACAGTAAGGGTCAAAGTTTTCAAAGACTATAGTAGATTGTCTTGGTCGAAATTTCATGGCAGCTGGGACATACTATCTACCTCCCACACGAAAAACAAAATACTTATAAGAGCCTGCCTGTTCCTTACTCAAAGGCCTACAACGCATTACTGACGCCTCTAGTGTTGCGAGTGTCCATGATCGGCGGTAGACACTTACCACGAGGTGGACCGCTTGTTCGTTTTCGTCCTTTCCATAAAAAAGTATGTGTGTACATTTATGTATGCACGTAAGAAGTTTACTATACTACTTTAGCGTAAACAGATAAAATGCTAATTTATATAACGGTTTATCTAAATAACTTAGAATTATTGCCGTAAAATTGCTTGGCAACTTGTTGGCATTGCTATGGCAACCAAGCATGATGAAGTTGATTCAGAGCGAAATTCATCGTGTCGCTTCTTGAGGATCGGTGTGCGCGCGCAGCGTAAAAATTTTACTCTCATTGCTTTTTTCAAACGCGCCAAAAGAAGTGTAGTAACCTCAACAACTAGATGAATGATACGAGTATAACCAGTGTCACTCTCACAGTAAATACGAATCTAATGACACCTCTCAAGCTAAAATCCATCAAGCCGTTCAGGCTGCAGAGCGTGCCAAACAATTATAAATACATAAATACTCTCGAAAAACATAACCCTCGTTCTCGCGCAATCGGGTAAGAACAAACACAAAACCATACCTAATCTAATCTAGTCTGTGGCACTAACAAGCGTCTATGTGAATAAAGATATTTTATTTTATTTTAACACCGGGCGCGTGTTACAGAGGAGCAGCTGTGGCGGACGCGCGCCGGCGACCGCTACTTCTACACGCACCAGGGCGAGGCGGGCGGCTTCGGCAAGCGGCAGCTGGCCGAGCTGAGGCGCGCCTCTCTGTCGCGTCTGCTCTGTGACAACGCGCCGCTGCGGCGCGTGCAGAGGGACGCCTTCCGACCGCCCTCCGAAAGGTAGCCCACAGCCCGGTGCACGCTCAAGTGCTTGATCGCGTCGGCTCGCGGGCGCTGTCACGAAATATCAAACATATTATGACTTAGTAATAACTACTTACTAAATTTGTTAAGCTTTTTATATAATATACAACACAAACTGTACGTACCTACAAATATTAAATCGCGACGAAAAATGTGAACGAAATTTCTCTTTTACTTGTACTTTCGAAGTAACGCGCGCCATAAAATTTGGAGATCGGAACCCTTCGGCACGCCGGCTAGGAGCAGCGATCGAGTGCGTTTTGCCTTTGTTCGAAAATCGCTCCGTTTCATTCACTGTGATGAGTGTGAGCGAAACAGTGACATGGAACGAAGTGATTTTGTCACAGTGATTTTTCATATTAAGTCGCGGTCACACCATAGACATTCAGATCACAGTCATTTTATCACTGTGACGGTATTTTTGTCACATCGCTACTTAGTATCCAAGTTTTCACGTATGAAACGCACGCGCGGTCTAAGTAGCGGGCAAACTGGCGACTAGCGCCGCGCTCGCGATAATATCAAACGCTTGAGACGTTTGAGTGTGTTCACGTTGAACTAGCGGCGGAGCGCGCTATTCAATTGAAGCATTAAATTAGTATAATATACCTATATATAATGACGTAGAATATTTTTGCAGTTCTGAATGAATATATTACATTTTGCACTAACAATTAGTTGGGGCCTATACCGTAACTAGGACTGTGGATTTAACTTTTATTAAGTTTACTCAGGAGCCGCCATGGCTCGACACTGAAAAGTGTATACAAATAATAATAAATACGCAAGACTATATATGGACTAAATTATAAGATTCAACAACAATTGTTATTATTTTTTTAGCAACCCAATCGTGCCCTGCGAAGAAATAAAGAAGGTTAATTTGGAGGCCTGGCAAGACCCGTCCAAGCGTCCGGACATTTTAACCCGAACCAACAAATGGATCAAGAACAAAGTGGGCAGTGTCGGAAACTCCACCAAATAATCAGAAACTCTTTATGTGCTTAATTAAAAAATATTTATGTATGTGTGACTGTTTTGAAGTAGCCCATCATGCAATTGTTTATTTTCAATAATGGTTGTATCGCATGTAATGCTTAATAGTTTTAACTTAATTCTGTGAGGGAATAAATATCAATCATTGTCAACGCACCGTGTGAACGAAACTAGTTATAAGAACAATCTATTCAGATATTGCATTATGGACTACATTAAAATGATTCAGTGTTGTGCTGATTGTGTAAATTTAGTTTTAAAATTTTGCAACGGAATCCGTGGGAGTTTCAGTCCGAGCGACAATATAATGTTGTGTGGGCACAATGTACAGTGGCTGTGATACGTCAGCGTGGAACTATGTCCACTTCACACGTGAAACATTTTATGTGTTGTTTCCAAAGATCCATATGTTAAAAGATCTTGGAGCCAATTCACTGTGTGACTGAAACAATACTGATAATGTTGTGAAGATATTATTTTTTTTAAATTGATCAATATTGTCAACTGCTTTTTTATTTTTGAAAGCTCTAGTGTTCGATAAAGTGACATTTTTAAAGTTAATTTTTAAAATCTTGATGCTCGAAAGCGTTTTGACAAAAGTGCGCTTCCCGTGATTAATAAGCTCTTGTATGAAAAGAACAATATTTGAATTAGAAATAAGAATCATGAAAGAACTTTATCAGAGGTTTAATTGACTAAAGCTACTGAGAGGCATTTGGCATGTTTGAATTTTGTTTTAAAATAATTGTGATCTTCAAATAATTTCTATGTGTAGCTATGTTGAGCGTTTATAACAAAATTATTGTATAGGTTGATCAAGAAGTTGGTTAATTTTAATGATATCATCACGGATGCAAATAGTTGGTTGTCCTATAAATGTGTGCAAGCAATACCAAAGACTGGACTGTAACTAACAGCTTGCATTTACATAAGTTTGATTGTTCTATGTGTATGATTTGTAATTTTAGATCCATCAAATTGTGGGCACATCAAAAAGATTTTCAGTAAGAAAGAGAAGCAAACTGAAATAGACTTGCTTCGGAATTGTTTTTGCTTTAGTTTCTATTTGGGTGTTTATTGCAACAATAAATCGATTAAAATACTGGTTTTCACCGATCGTCACAGTAGCCTTATATTTGTAAATCGTAATACATATGTTAATGTTGTCATTGTAAACGCACAAACCTTTGTATTCTGTGAGACAATAATGTCTGTTTTTTATCTATATTTGGCAACAAAAAGGTTTCACATTTTACTGTTTTTTTGTGATGTACTAGCCATAAACATGTTAGTTTATTAAAACGTAAATACACATAGACAACATTTCCAAAAGTTGCTTACAAATAAATTAGATGATATTGCAATAAAAATGTAATAGACCTGTAACCACCAACATAAAGATTCATAACTTGATATTTTATGCTGATACAGTTATTCGCCAGTTAATGTGTTCTGAATTCGGAGAATTCCATATAATATTTTTTTCTCTTTATAATCAGGGTAATGTCACGTTTGATTTAATTTCTTTTTACTTGTCAATAAAAACTATGAATGAATTTGTCTTTTAACTTCATCACCCCAATAAACATGCCCAGTAATTTTTTATTTAATTTGATTTCTATTTATCTCCGATTAAGTTTGCCTTTAATTTTTGCCGATTAAATTTTATTTTATTAAGTATTTATTAAGAAGTTGAAATTAATACTTTCTAACAGTGAATTAAGCTTTTAATTTTAGTCTTGAGAGTTGCATTTACTTGAATATTTAATTTCATTTAGCAGTAGAACCATATGCATATTTTTAATTATCTGTTAAAGATCATTCATTAGTGAACTCACGTGAGCCTTGGAAGAGGGGGAGGGGGTTCATCAATAATCACGAAATATCACAAGGTTATGCATGAGATATCCTCTGTAATTATTTTTTCATTGAAAGTGAGCTTTCTAAACCGAAATGCGACGTGTGAGCTTGACTCGCTGCTGGCATCAAGATTTCCCTGTCCGGCAGAAAAAAATGCTGTTTTAACATTTTTATCATGGTCGCTAATTTTCCAGAATTAGATTATAGATATTAGATTATAGACTTACCTTTATTGAAATATAACAAAATAAAAATAAAATTTGGTTATCATACATTCATACAACATAGAATTAGACAGTCAAGTCCATTCTTACTAGATTACACTAAATGTTAAATAATAAGGGTCACAAACGCCTGGACAAAGTTATTAGCAAGTAAAATATTTATGTGTAACTTTTTAGAAAACCGAGTTTTTCGTAATTTTTTATTTAATGAAACTATTTTACGGATTTATTAAGCTCAATTTGTAATTAAATTTTCGACTTTGTCTTTTTCATAGTGGACGTATGGACCTTCAATCCGTAGCACAGAACACTTTTACTCAAAGAGATGATCCGTAGACTATACATTTAAAGCTTCTTCGGGGACAGGGTTCGTTGAAAGGATACGTTTGTACATTAACGTCGGGAGTGGGACCCCCGACGGGTCCGAAATGAAGGGAACAAAAGGTTCCCTTTCTCGAACGGTCGCGTTAGTCTGGTTGATAATTAACCGCGTTTACCAGTACCACTAGAGGATTGGGATGATTTTCGGATCCCTCGAAAAAACATCTTGTTATAACTCTTTCTCTATTTGACCTTTCTTTCCCAAGGAATCGATAATCGAAAAGTATCATATGTCCTTACTTCCTGTCGTGGTTCGCTGGGTGAACGGTTGATGGTGATGGAGTTGGCTCTTGTGAAATATATTGCACAGTTTTTTGAAGGGGTCACCTCTATTATACATGTACATATAGGACAGGGCGCGTTAAGGTATTTTAGGATGGTGTCTGTTAGGCAGTGGGCTTATTCGGGACAACAATGTTTTGGGCGAAATCGGAATTGTTGGTGAGAAATAAGGTAGTTATACAAAATGATCTTTCAACATGTTAAGAATTATCAGCTCGTATACTTTGCCTTTTTTTGGTATCGGGGTGGAAATATTCAAAAGATACCCTGCGACCTTACATGACAGGGTTATGTGAGGTTCTTAGCCACTAAAACCTGTGGGCACCTTCTGTACGTTTGGAGGGACTCCGGGAGCCCCTACGGAACGCTCTGGTGTCCCTTGCGTGAGCACGCCCTCGTATACTTTGCCTAGTAATCGGAGAGACTTATTGGGGAGTACCTACTTGGGAGACTTTTTTATGTGAAATGTTGCCAAGCGAGCCAACGGTTCACCTGATGTTAAATGAATACCGCCGCCCATGGACATCTGCTACACCCGAGGGTTCCAGATGCGTTGACAACCTTTAGACAATTGGGCTCCGGCCACCTCACTCACCAGACGAAACGCGAAATCATTATACTTCCACTTTACGTCGGTCTTCTGTGAGGTCGTGGTACTTACTCGGACGAGCCTGCCCATTCGTGCAACAGCCGAGTCCGGTGCGTGGCCCTACCAACGTAAATGGCTGAGTGCTTTATTTGTAGTATTCTTTCTAGGAGTACGGGATGGAGTAGCTAGAGAGAAATACGTTGAAAGTATTAGCCAGTATTTGCTTACTAAGAGAGCCTGGAAGTGTTTTCAAAACTTCGTTACAGATTCGACTTTGACCTGGGGCTGGGGCTGATCCGGGTTTTTAACCTTATACATGTTTGACCACTTCCTGGTTCACTAAATTTAAAGGGTTGTCTTCCGGTACATACGCAGCCTTATGTTCGATAACACGGTTTACATCCGACATGAACTGGATCAACGAGTTCGCGAGATGTTTTTTGAGTTTCACGAATATTAGCTATAACTTATTCGCTAAGGATTCAACTTTTTCGGAGTCGGCATTGAAGTAACGGCGGTTCATAGAGGTCTTCATTTTCCGGGCGAACTGCCAGTTGCTCTAGATCTTGACGTTGTCCGATATACGAATTTTTGCCTCTACTTACAAACTAGGACACACCTCATTTTGGCCAGATTCGATTCCCATATCGGCTTTTGGTTGCTATTTTCTCTCAAACCAAATACCATTCGTAATGATAAAGTGTTCGCCTCGTGTTAGCCGTTGAGAAACGAGATTAGAGTCTTGCGTCTTGGACGTAACCTGGAGTAATTTCTCTATGGTGTGGATAACCATAGCCTCTTGGGCATTCTAGGCCACCTTATAAAGTCTTCTGTTCTCTGAATGTAGTTTATGGACAGTCTGCGAGACTTTCTTGACTGACTGACAATGTCTAAATACTAGGCGTTTTGTAGTACTTAGCAGGGAGTACTTTGAGTTAGTTTGTAGTAGTCACAGGAGCGACGATGTTAATATTGAGATGCTCTTCAAAACTATGTAGTTTCCTACCGTTATAGTTGATTGTATGCAATTAAGGTCTCGAGCAAGTAGCACGGAGAGGCCAAGGATTAAACATTTAATAGGGACTCTAAGTGAGGCTTTATAGGAAAAATTTTGCAAATTTATCTGTCGAAAATTCACATTTTAAATTAATATTCTCGAACGAGGTACCTGATATCTATAGCTATATATCTGTAGCAATTTACGCATTGCAGTAGCATTTTCGAAGAGCCTGCGTAGGAAAGTGAAACCAGTTATCTTTGTCGAGTTCCACTAGTCACGCGCTCGATTTCGTAACGATTGTCAACCTGAGATAAGTAGAACAGATTGTTGTAAAACTGTGTTGGTCCCGTATCTGTACCGAATAGCGGAAGTTCTGTTTTTTGATCTGTAAACACTAACCTTGTTTTATTGAACTCCGTTCATAAACAAGTTCGTCTAGAATATTGTAGTTTACCATGGATATGAATGCCGATCGGATACTGTTATAAGCAAATTAAAAATTTGAAGTGGAAATATAAAAAACTGTGCCTTTAGATTTAGTAAATTTTTTTCTTCGACTTCTTCCAAGATTCAAATTGTTGTTTCCAATAATCTTTGAATCTTCTTGTAAGGCATCAACAGAATTTTTTGATGCTTTTCCTTCGAAAACA